TAATAAATATGATATATATTATTATTAACCTATTATATATATTATATAATATTATATTAACCTATTATATATATATATATGTAAATAAAACCTCTTATATATTATATTATATTATATTATATTATATTATATTATATTATATTATATTATATAAATGTTTGCCCCCTTGGTTGCAGGCAGCGCTCTGCGCGTGCGCACTGTCAGGGCTGCATCAGGTGCTCACGTGGCTGGACGCGTCTCAACCAGAGCAGCCATCCCGGCTTCAACACCCTGGGGGCGGCCATCTTGACAGGCATCTCAGTGGGCGCCGCCATCTCTGAGCCGTACAGGTGGAGGCCGCCATCTTGCCTGTAGTACAGTCGTGTCTGCCATCCATCTTGGAAACGGGCAAACGCCCCTTCCGGGGCTTCAGCACCATGCCCGCGTCGCATGCGCTGAGAGGGAAGGCGCTGGGATTGGCGGAAGCGGCGCTGTGGCCGGAGGGGGTGTGTCCGGCGCCGTCATGGCGGAGCACGAGAAGTTCTGTTATGTTTACAGCTGCGACCTGGACATCAACGTGCAGCTCAAGATGTGAGTGGGGCGGGGTGGGGGTTGCTAGGCAGCGCCCCCCATCCTCCCCCACCCCGCGTGTGCCTGTGGAGAGGGGCTGGGATGGATTGGGGTGACATGAACTTGGGTGAACTGGAGTGGATTGAGCTGGGCTGTGGTGACCTGAACTGGAGTGGATTGGGCTGAGCTGGGCTGGCATCCCTCTGCTTGGCATCTCCTTCCCTGCCGCTCCAGCGCTTGCTCTCAGGGCAGGTCCCTCGCCCCATTGCCTGCCTCGACCAGGCCCCCTCCCCCTCCCACACCCTTGGGGGGGCTCATCTGCGCCCCCGAATCTGCAGCTGCCCAGTGCACGGGCTCGTCCCTGCGCCTCGGAGAGGATGGAGGAGAAAGGCAACGAGGCGGATGAGCGGCCTGGAGAGGCTCGCACACAAGGAGAGGCCCAAGAGCTCGTTCCTGTTACAAAACAGATGCCCGAGGAGCGGGGGGACAGGAGACGGGTTTCCAACCTGCCCGGTGGCGAAGAAAAAGTCGGTAGGGATTTACTTTTGAATCTCTCTCTCTCTCCCTACGAGAACGAGGGGCGACGACATGGAAGGAACCCGTCGCCGGTTTGAAGATGGATGCCAGGAAGTTGTTTTTCATCCCGCGCATCATGAAGGGCTGTGGCTCGGTGCCTTGAGGGGCACAGCTCCTTGCAACCTGATGTCATGGATGCGGATAGCTTTGCCTGACTCAAAAGGCGTGGGCACGTTTTTGGAGGAAAGTGGCAGCAGGAGCTATCGAGCACAGGAGTGTGGGGCACGGCGGCTGAATCAGAGCTTCCTAGAGGCTAAATGCTGGAGGCGATGTGTGAGAGAGGAAAGGGGTGCAAAGACAAGACTCTCGTCGTACCCTGTTTTCCTTCTCTTTCAGCCCACGTGCTGCCACTGTGAGACACGGGCTTGTTTGATACATAGCAAGCACGTAGACGTTGGGCCCACAAAGATTGGTTACCCCCCCCCTTGTTTTTAGGGGGGCCATTGGATGTGCAACAGCTAAATTCGTGGGGCAACATAAAGCAGTGGCTGATACAGGAGCGGGGGTCTGGGGTTGATAACGAATGCTTCAAAAGGAGACCCTGAGAAGAGCGCATCGGCTTAGGAGCCCATGGACACTGCACTGTAAAATTGCCCAGAGATGTGACCGCACAAGGGACAGAAAGTGGCCCCACAGCCACTGGGGTCCTCCTGGCCAGAGTTAGCATGGCTGCCTCTGTGGCGCAGATGACAGGGAGAGATGGTCTGCCCCAGTAAATGGCAGTTTTTCTGTTTGTCTGCTGAAAGCAGAGCTGTGCCCACACATTTACATGTTTGCAGGGTCTGTCCTCCTGGTCTTTCTGAATAACAGCATTTGCAGGGTGTGTTTGGGTCTTTCTGAATAACAGGATCCAGTGATTTTTCTCCTTCTCTTTCTGTTTCCAGTAAAAATATAACTGTGAAATTACCAAAATCATCAGGGGCCCTCTTGGGCCCATGTGGTCTGCAGACCCTTGAGGCGAGGCTTTCTTTGGGTGATCTCCTTTATTGTACTAACCACATAGTTGGGATAGAGTTAGACAAGCTTTTGAATGTGAGACATTCTCCGTCAGGTCTGAGGAGTAAAAGGCAGTGCAGCACGGTAACAAACAGTTGGAAAAGGGTGGAGAGAAACTTTCTCTGGAATTTTTTTCAGCTATGCAGTTGGTCTAATAAAACTTATCACCCTAAGAGATTCTTGTCTCGTGGATAGAGTGATGTAGTCGTGATGGGAATTATGTGAGCAGCAAAGATCTCTTGGGGATCTTTGAAGGATCCCTTAAGGGGATCCTTTACTGAGCCAGTTATATGCCCTTGGTCCAATAAAAGATATCATCCTAAGAAATCCTTGCTTCTCACGCAATTCCTGGACCATTACATGTACAAATATCGCTCTAACACTGTATATTCTTGTAGTTTTGGGACATTAATTAGCCTTCAGGTCAATTTGAAATGTTTCTGCAAGCAATGACAGATCAGTTGTGTCCTGAGTATTATCTGGACCTAAACTGACAAGAGGATTCAAGGTGAGAATAGGGAATGTGTATCCTCCTCTGAACTAAGTTCCACTGTTGAGAGAGAGAGTATAAAGCATTGCTTTTCCTTACTGGGGAACAGATGTGCTGCTAGATTTTGCTAGACATCTTGATTTTTTTTTTTTTTTTGGAAGGACTGTTTTAAGCACCTCTCATTTGTAATGCCAAATTGTGTTGCAAATGATAGCAGATTGTAGAAATACCCATACCCTGACACTTGTTTAGTAGCTATGGTTGTAGATTTATAAACACTCCTGGAAAATGGAATGGAATTGTAAGTGTCGTTATCAAAGTGGTGTTGTAACTTAATATGATATGTTTTATTAACCTAAAAACTGAGTAACTTAATTCTGTTTTTATTTTTTTCTAGAGGAAGTCTGGAAGGGAAAAGAGAACAGAAGAGTTACAAAGCTCTTTTGGAAGATCCGATGCTGAAGTTCTCAGGATTATACCAGGAGACCTGCTCAGACTTGTATGTAACTTGCCAAGTTTTTGCAGAAGGGAAACCCCTTGCTCTTCCAGTTAGGACTTCCTACAAAGCTTTCAGCACTAGATGGAAGTAAGTAAAGTAGATGGAAGTAAGTAGCTGCATTGTATTTATTTTACTTCTCAAGAATTAGGACATAACATTATGTATGTTTTTTTCACCCAAATTCCAGTGTATTCCAGTAATATGCATACCAGAGAAGTGCACAATATGCTTAATAGCATAATGGGATCTGGTCTGGCTAGGTTTGTACTAACTGTAGTTCTCTGCTTTGTAAATGACTATTCTCCCTTTTGCAATGAAACAATGAAGGGGGAGACCGATATCAAAGGGCTGCTCTTGGAACCCTTGAAAATGATAAGAACGAGTTAGTTTCAATTTAGTACCCCAGAAATTGGCAGTGCGGTCTACTCGGTGAGCACTGTTTACATGGCGATTGGATAAATTCATGGCCTTTTTCAGTGTGGGGGCTATGCACTTAAAGGGTGTGTGCTTTGTTCCTTTTACAAATTAGAAAAGGGGGACTTCAACCTCTTATTTTGGAGTATTTGCTTCAGGTTTTTGATTATACTTTTAATATCATTATATGCTAGTGACTAAGAGTCCCCAGTAGGGCTCCATCCTAATAAGCACTGAGAGAGTCATTGCTTCAGAGCGATTATAGACTGTGTGTGTGAAGTTATATGTTACACATACTCTATACTAAATCTGTGGAATATTTAGTGGTGTTAAAGTGAGGACGTGCTCTGAGAAGTTGTATGTGAATAGTTAACGCCATTTCATTATTCTTGCACAGCAATGAGATGACACTAAAGGGCTGGTGAGCGGGGGTGTGACTAGGAACCAGGACACCTGGGCTCTATCCCTGCTTGGGGGTGGGTGGGAGTGGAGGGCTGGCAGTGGTAAATGATAGGATGCTGGAGGACTGCAAATTGCTTATTTTATCTCATCGGAGCAGACCTGAAGTTGCCCTAACACAAGCTAGGTAGCATGGCCCAGAGTTAACCCTTGCCTAAAGTGGCATAATTTTGAGACAGTCAGAGGGCACTTAGCATGAATTTAACATGCAGATGCTTGTGTTTTAAGTGTCTTTAGTATGGTCTAAGAGTAACATGGAACTTTATGTCTTCACAACAGGTAGGGAGGTGTAAAGAGAGAACAGGAAAACAGTTAAAAAATCAAGGAACAGAAAATGTGAGAGAGCCTGGTTAAATTATATGAGATTGGTCCCATATGGTCTTAAAATCCTTAAGAGGGGAAGGTGGACACTGATATTAGTGTTTTGGTTTAGTAAGTAGTATGTGTGTCTGACTTGCCATGAAGTCTAAGCGACTGTAGTACAAAGAGTGTCATAAATATCTCATTTGTAAATCACACGTGTGTAGTGGAAACTCCTCCATGGCAAGCAGTTGGCACTGTATAAGAAAAGACAAAACCCCTCACTTGCATTTCTACTTCAAATTTATTCTTAAGAGAGAGGCTTTGAGCAGTGTACAACTCTGTATTGTAAGTATTGGGGAGGGGGTGTTTTTAAAGATATTGGATTATTTTAAACATTTTCATTGTAGTAGTAGTGACCTTCATGTAATTGCACTGTTATATTTTTTCCTGTGTGAGTATAACCTGTTTTCTACCTAAGTCTGGCCAGAAACATGCTCACTAAGTGCCCCTTTTTGGAGGGGGGAAGAATTGGCTTAACACATTTACATGGCAGTTTTGCAAAGGTGTCTGAATTCTGAGAATCAGTTGCAAAGTTAGTTTGCACTCACTTATGCTCTGGTCTTGCCAATGCTGATGCTTGCACTTAACTTCACTTGTGACTAAACTGGTATAAGTGTTCATGTGGTTAGGATCCAAGTGAGCTTATTCAGTTATTCCTTTAATCTTCAAGGGAAAGAACGTAGCTGGCTTACAAAACAGAACAACTTTAAATCATTAAGCTTGCAACTCTTATTGTATGTTTTCTCTCCTTAGCTGGAATGAATGGCTGAAATTGCCAGTGAAGTATCCTGACTTGCCCCGCAATGCACAAGTAGCTCTGACCATCTGGGATGTGTATGGGCCTGGTAAAGCAGTTCCTGTAGGAGGAACAACAGTCTCTCTCTTTGGAAAATATGGGTATATTTTTCTTCCTTGCATGATACATGTTTAAACCAACATGTGCTCAACTTCTGGCTCTGTGGACCAGATGAGTGGTATAGAGCCAGCCTGTGGATCATATCAGGCCTGGGGGCCCAGCATTGCCCCTTCCTGTCCCCTGCGCCCCCAGGATTGGGTCCTGTGGGCCTGGCACCTCTCCTTCCCGTGTGCGAGGATTGGGTGCCTGAGGCCTGGCACTGCCTCCTCCTGCCCTCTGTGCACTGGGATTGGGTCCCAGGATCCTCGTGCTGCCCCTGCCCCCGCCTGGCCCTGCATGCTGGGCTTGGGCACCCCATCCACTGAGCAGAGCCTGGGGCTCCCCACGGGTCTGGAAACTGGCAGCAGGGGAACAGTGCCACTGCTCCCCCTTTGCCAAATGTCTGGACCCATGGAGAGCCCTGTGGGCCAGATGACACGGTGCTATGGGCTGGGGTTCAGTACCCGTGTAGTAGGGGGTTTTGCAGTAGTTGTAATGACTGCAAAACTCACCAGCATTCAGATGCTGTAACAGAAGCAAGTAGAGCTTGCACAGGTGTGATTTCTCCTGTTTTGTTGTAAACAGCTCATCTGTACTTGGTATTTGCAGAAATCCACTGCTAGGATGCACAGGTCCTCAGTGAAGGCATACGTCTTACTTTTTAAAAGTCTGAAACCTTAATAGGGCAGGTGCAGGGGCCAGTTTGCTCATAAATGCCAGTATTTGACTCAGTAGGGTTATATCTGCACTGCACTGCAGTAGGAACTTGTTCTCTTTCTTACAGCTGCAGCTATTGTTGGCTACTGACAGCTTCCATATTTTCAATTTACTGATATGACCCTGCATCTTTCCTGCAGTATGTTTCGTCAAGGAATGCATGATCTGAAGGTCTGGCCCAATGTAGAAGCTGATGGCTCAGAACCTACCAAAACTCCTGGCAGAACCAGCAGCACAGTCTCTGAAGATCAAATGAGCCGACTGGCTAAGGTAACGGGAGAGTGCTGCAGTTGGGTCTCAAAAGGTGCTTGCATTTTTAATACCTAAGCCCACTTTAATGACAGCACCTGAGTAATGTAGAAGACCTGCTTTGCACACCAGTTTTTGATTTTGCAGTTGTTTTCCTTATAGTGGTAAGTATTTCAGAGCGCTAAATTGGAGTGTCCCAGCCCATATGTTCACTGAATGGAGACCTTTTAAAAATTATATTTACCTTCACGGTTAGCTACAAGGGATTTGTGACACAGTGCAGTGTGCCTCTTTAAATTACAGACTGAAGTGTAAAAATGACTACTGTTCAGGATGATGTGGCCCAGATCCATTATAAGCAATGAGGGTAGCAACATGACCTGAAAGGGCTCAGATGAGGCCTGAATGTTACTGCTGAGTTCCAGTAGCAGCCATCTTAATGACTAACTTTTATTGAAGAAATCAAAGGTAGAGCATTCTATAATATTCTTCAGTGATCATTTTCTAAAAAGTCAGGATTATTGAGCTTAGTCCTCTAATCAACATCTGTTAGTTGTAGGATACTAATGAAGATGATTTTTTTTCATGGAAATAACTTAGAAGAGACAAGAGCTAGTAGTGTTTCTCCTTTGAAAACTTGATGATATTTTTGTTGTAATTGTGCAAATGCAAAGTTTTGTTACCAGAAGATAATAGAGGGAGGGAGGGAAAGCCTGTTTTAAACCCTGATGCATTGCTCAGTTATGTCATGCTCATTTAGGAGCTGAAACATCTGATCCAATAGACCCTTCTCACTAAGTTTAAGTTTCCTAGTTTTTCAAGGCAACCTTCCTTGCCTTTGTGCAAACCTAAGTGAACAGGGAGTTAGGAAAATTCCAGTACCATAAATATGTCCATTTCCTCATCCTGAGATTTATCATGGCAATAAACTAACTTTCATTTAAGCTCTGTATCTTTTATAAGGCTAGCTCACCTTGAATTTCTAATAGAACTCATTATAATCTGCTCACTTATAACCAGTAGGATACTATAACGTGAGCAAGGCTGAATTTCAAGAGCACTAAGAGGGTACTTTGATTTGTATAAAGCCTGAGGTACAAATTAATGCCTATCTGTCAGGCATCGAAACAAAAACAATACAACTAATGCCTAAACTGATTATCTGAATATGAATTTTGTTAGAATACCATGTAACATAGATGGTAGTGAACACGTTCCTCATTTGATTGTTCGGTTTTCCCTCCGTCACCAAAAGCTAAGGGTAAGAAACAGTCTGTGACGTTTAGAGTTAGCACTGGAAGAAATGAAGTATGTGACAGCTTAATTTTTTGATTGTATGTGATAAATTGCTTTCACATAGCGAAGGATCACTTACAGTGGTAGTGAATTCAGAAAACAAACTCAGGCATAAGTAATATTTTTTTTTTAACCTGATTTAGCACTTTATCCCCAGATCTGCTAATATATGTCTATTTTCAAGCTTTGTGCCAATCATATTGCCCCACTTTCTGCTCCCCTTAGGGCAAGTCCCTAAGCCCTTGAGGCATATGGGTACTAAATGGAAGCCACACACAAAGGACTATTTATGTACTTCATGCAATGGATGTATAATTTTAAAATGCATAAACAGTTTTTGGTGCAGAGACGGGGAGTCAAGTCTTCTACATCCCTAGGGAAGTGCCCTAGCTGCTTGCCTGCATTCACATTAACACGTGCATCTTTTTCATGGCCCAGTGTGTCATTTAAAATGGAAAGTTTTCAATAAAGGGGGTTGAGAGCCCACCCAAAAATACCCTGTCACCTGATGCTGGGGGCATTCTCCTGTCAGGTGAGAGAGAATTAAATCCTGTTAAGCAAAGGAAAGAATTGAGTCAGTGGTCCTATACGTGTGTGAGTATCCATTGACACATTGAATAGTAACAAGGTGGTATTATCCTGACCTCTGCTGCCTGGCTGTCATGTGAAGGAAAGCAATGACTGCACTGTTTCTGAAAGAAAGTGCTTAGGCACTTATGGGAGTGAGTTCTGGGCTGTGAATTCCTAGTGAACAGAGGTGCTTTTCAGTAGTTAAGGCACTTCAGTTGTGAAAGGAGAGACAGTTAATGCATGCCCCCATCCTCAGATTTTCCTATTGGTTGGCTTATCTCTGCTCAGCATAGTTTTTGTGGATTGTATTTTGCCTAGCTTTCCCCATGAACTATATAAGGAGCCTAAGGGCCTAGCTCAGGGTGGCTGATCCAATTAATTGAGCTTAGGCACTATTTTGGCACCTAAGTCTTATAGAACTAGGGCCTTATAACCAACTTATTTGGGGTCATTGGGTAATTTGGGTTATTCCTGCTCAATCTTCTACAGTGTATTAAGTTCGTCTTCTTTTTTTTTTTGTGTACCTCCCAGTACTTAAAGGTCTCATTTCAGCCCCTTTCTTTGCCCGTTTTCCAGTCACTATACTGTAGTCATGCAGTTTGTGTTTCTCTGCATGCAATCCAAGTTTCTAGTATTTGGTGTAGCTTTGTAACTTCAGTGGATGTGGTGACATTTTATTTTTCCACAAAGGAAGTTATTTATTTGAACTTCTGGAATAATATGGCTTCCTTTCCTCTCTGTCTTCTTCTGCCTTCTATTTTTGTCTACCTGGGTTCAGGTTTGGCAGTTTTAGATGCGGATTGGCTGCATGCTCCTATATTGAGGCACTTTAATTCACAGAGGGTACATCTAGACCAGATGTTTACTGTGCAGTAGACTAATTAGCTGCACAATAAACATCTCGGTGTCTACACATGTGCCCTTATTAGGTGGGGTTAGACTAATTTACTTTGCAGCAGGGCAGTACTTGAAAATACAAGTACTGCCCTGCTGCAGAGTAAAAAATGCTGCAGCAGTGCACAGGTGGATGCTGCCCTGGCTGGCTGGGGCATGAGGGTGCTTCAGTGCAGGCACTGTCTTATGGTTAGCCCTGTGCTGAAGCACTCTCATTCCCCAGCCATCCCATCCAAAGCACATTGAGCCAAGGGGAGCAGCCCTTGGCTGGCAGTCTGACCCCCTAGGCCCCCTGTCAGCTGGGGCTGTTGCACCCCAGCTCAACATGCTGCAGTCCTGGGCACATGTTCAAACAGCAATACATTCTGGAGTGTACTGCTCTCAGGTGCAGATTCAAACATTAATTGCATGTGTAGATGCACCCAGAAGGTGCTCTGGATAAATTCACTAGGGTCCCTGGATGGAGTTCCTCACGTACCTGAGGGAAAGGGAAATGGATTTATCTTTGATTTGGCTCGCTTTATTTAGCAACTGCTTGAATTTAAGCGCCGTTGGAATTTTTTTATAACTTTCAATTAATGAGCAGTTATTGTTAATTTAGCCATTGATGAGCAGTTTTTGTTGTCATATATAAAAGTGAATTTGGATGTAGAAAAGAAAGTTTGACGGTGTTGGTTAAACACAGATGTTGTTTGGATGGGCTCTGTATCTCTTGAAGCTTTCCTTGTTGAATGACTTCTGGGTTATGCTTTCTACTTAAATACTGGGTGGAGAAGGATCAGATGGTGTCATGATGCTGAGTGATGTTTGACTGTAGAGACCAAAATGAAATCCTCCAAATGAATGAATAACTTTAAAAGTGTATGAAGTTTTAAGCAGATGTTTTCTGTTTGGAGGCAAGTCTTTTATTCCCTGATGATTTTCTGACCTTTTCCCTTTGATCTGTTTAGAGAATTCAGTCATGCTTGGCATTAGTTTTGAATAATGTCAAAACCCACATTCTGTTGCTGGGGTAAAAAAAAGGTTTCCTACATAGCTTTCTCAAGTTGAGGAAACGATAGCACATGTTTCATTTAGCAGTGGAGTGCCACATTGCCATGAGACCATGAAATGTTTAAAAGCAGATTCAGAAACTGTCAGTAAGGCTGAAAGCTGTGAAGATGCAGCCCCTGGGGTTGTTGACAAAGTTGACTTCATTCCCTTTCCGAGTCATTTACATGCAGGGACTGGAGCAGTCTAGTGCTCTCCAACATTAATGACATCAGGATATTATAATTAAGTACTTTATCTTATGAGCAGTTGGTTAATTTATTGCTTTTAAATGAAGGCTGCACCGCTAATTTCTTAGTTGATTCCTCCACTTCACTTCTTCCTCCACACCCATCACCACTCCTACCAACTGAATAAAATTGCTTAGATCCTACCATTACCTTTTCCCTAATCACTTAAATGAAAATGTTCAGTTCTCCAGGGAAATGGTGATCTGTCTTCATTTTTCACCTAGAGAGAATGTTTCTTATTTAGCAATGCATTCCCTTTTCCCCTTAGTTATTTTAAGCCTTTTATGTATTCCTGGAGAGACATGTCAGTTTTACAAGAATATATGACTGTAGATCTCTTGAACTGTGTACATCAGTAATTGCTGATGCATTGCCCCTCTTGCTTTTTAGAATCCAAGCAGATAAAAGAGAGAAATAATTTGCTTTTTAAAATGTAGACTTATGACTTCTGCTTTATCTTCTGGTTCAAAGGATAAAGAGAAATTAATATGCGATTACACCTTGCCAGGAGTTAAGTAAATACCATTGGGGTACACAGGCTTTCATGTACCTCTGTGGCATGAACACATGTCCAGTTTCTGCTGAAAATTTTAATATAACAGTTTCAAAATAGTAGAAATAAAATCTTTACCATACAAGTCCATTCAAAGAACAGCTCTCAAAAGTTTTGAGTGCTTGGTGGGAAGGACACAGTTTAACATGTTCAAAATGATGGAGTAGCTGCTTTAATAACAATTTTGGGGGAGGAAAGAGAGCTATATATCTCTCGGTGGTCTCTGGGCATTGTCATGATACATGACATGACATGGCTTAGAAATGCCTTTGGGGGAAAACCTGCTGAGCTAGGAGTAGCACATTTGTAAATCCTAACAAAGGCTTAAGACTGGGAAGCTTTCACCCCTGGGAAGTAATCAAATCCAAACAAACCTAGTTTGGACCTTCAGAGGATGATGAACTGTGCTAAGACTGAAAGGGACTGTG